GGAAGTCTCTTGGGGCTGTCCAGTGCTGGTTCAGATGCCACGATCCCTGAACACCGTGGGCGCGGCCCCGCCTCCCTTTCCTTGCTGCCTTCACGACCTTACGACCCCACCGTCGACTGTGTGGGTTGTCCCCTGGTGGGGCGTTGACTAACCAGGCCGACCTCTGAACTCTGCTGCAGATACCTGGGTTTCAGAACGTGGTTTTTTTTTTTTTTTCCGCCCAGTCTTGGGTGCGTTGTGTACCAGTGAGCTAGTAGCAACAGAGAGGCTGTCGTTTAACCCAGGTTGGCTTCCAACTCTCATCTCCCTTCCTCCACCTTCGGAGTGCTGGGATTACAGGCATGAGCCACCACCCTGGTGTTTATGCGATGCCGGATGGAACACAGGGCTTAATTAGAACTAGGCAAGTACGTATATCCCCAGCCCACAAACGCTAGGCGGGGTCATCGTCCCAGTCTTAGGAAGTCCTGATTGTATTTTCTCAGGGTAAGTGAAGCAAAGGATGGCGAGGACCATACAGGTAGCAGCATAGCCTCCGAACCCCTGTAGTCCTTGGTGGGCTGTCCTGGGAGTCTTTCCTTTCTAACCAGGCTCTGCTCTCGCTCCCCAGGGCCTCATGTTCCGGTGTAGCGCCAACTGCTGTGAGGACAACCAGGCATCTATGCAGCAGGTGCACCAATGCATCGAGCGCTGCCATGCGCCTTTGGCTCAAGCTCAGGCCTTGGTGACCAGTGAGCTGGAAAGGTTCCAGGTGAGGAATGCGACAGAGTTCTCAAGTCCTTGAACAGCTCTTTGACGGGAGATGAGAAGCATTTATTCTGCTTTAGGGCCTTAGTTCTGTTAAGACTGGTGGCAGTCTGTTGGCTAACTGGTATTCTTGGGGTTTGAAGTTTTGGAAAAAGCCCTAGGAGTTGAGTGCTCTTAAGTTGTGCCATGTTTTCCCATGGAGATGAGATGTAATTTACCCGTAGTAATGGAGAGTTACCAAGGGAGTTTATAGCCAAGTGTCTGTGCCATTGGCATGTCATTTGACGTGCTGAGTGACAAATACAGTCTATGCTGTGTAGTATCAAACTCCTTAAAATGTCTTTTAACTTGGAGCTGTAGAGACGGCTCAGCAGTTAAGAGCACTGGCTGCTTTCCAGAGGGGCAGCACCCACATGGTGGCTGGAAGTCATGTGTAACTCCAGTCACAGGGGATCTGAAGCCCTCTTCCGCCCTCTGCGGTCACTGCACACATGTGGTGCACAGACACTTAGGCAAACACTCATACACATAAAAGGTAAAATCTCAAAAAAAAAAAAGTAAAACATAATCTCAGTTATTTTATTCAACTCTTTGACTATTCCATACCTGTAATATATTTAGAGAACATTTTTACCCCTTCCTCTCTCCTGGACCCCTTTTTACAAGTCTTCCTCTTTTTTTTTTTTTTTTTTACTGTTCACTCTGGATTTAATGAAGGTAGATTGCACGAGCAAGGGCAGTTTTAACAGTGGTGAAATCACTAAAGGCAAAGGACTTCTTCCTGCAGCAACCTTTAACTGCCTACTGGCTCAGGGCTGGAGAGATGGCTCAGTGGGGAAGAGCACTCACTGGTCTTAAAGAAGACCCAGGTTGGGTTCCCAGCACCCACATGGCAGCTCACAACCATCTGCAACTCCAATTCCATGGGATATGACAACTCTTCTGACCTCTGCAGGTTCCTGCACACACATGGTGCACATACATATATTCAGGAACACAAATACAAATATTTTTTGTAACTATCAACCAGGCAGTGGTGGCGAACCCCTTTAATCCCAGCACTCAGGAGGCAGGGGCAGGAGGATCTCTGAGTTCAAGGCCAGCCTGTTCTACAGAGCAAGTTCCAGGATAGCCAGTGCTATACAAAGAAACCCTGTCTCGTGGGGGGGGGGGGGGGGGGACCTGCTAGTAGTTCCTCAGCTAAGAGTAGGATCTCATGAGTTCTTCCTCTTTGATTCATTTCTAAAATAATGAAATTTCCTGAAAAGTGGACTAAGGTCTGTAAAAGATACAGATTAGTGGCTAGCTCAGTACTTGCCACACAAGCCTGGCAACTTGAGTTTGATCCCCAGAATCCACATAAAGATGGAAAGAGAGTAGCCAGGCGGTGATGGCTCACATCTTTAATCACAGCACTCGGGAAACAGCCAGGTGGATCTCTGAGTTCAAGGCCAGCATGGTCCAGAGAGCCAGCTCCAGGACAGCGAGGTAAACTCAGAGAAACCCTGTCTCAAAAACAAATAAAAAGAATTAAGGTGTGCCGGGTGGTGGTTGTGCACGCCTTTAATCCCAGCACTTAGGAGGCAGAGCGGTGGTGGTGCACATCTTTAATCACAGCACTCTGGAAACAGCCAGTCGGATCTCTGTGAGTTCAAGGCCAGCCAGGACTATAGGGCAAGATCAAGGACAGGCACCAAAACTACACAGAGGAAACTCTGTCTTGGGGGAAAAAAAAAGATGGAAGGAGAGAAGCAAGTTGACCTCTGATGTTATAGGCTTACCCAGCACACATGCCAGTTCACACACACACAGTTTAAAAGGTGCAGATTAGAGTCAGTCCTTCACAGTGTTTGTGGTCTTAAATTCTCCCCAGAATGTCACCTATTGGACACCTGGAGAGAGGCTTCCATGGTACAAAAAACCCAGTCATAAAAAGCATTAGTATTCAGTTTTTTGAGACAGGGTCTCAGCTCTGTGGCCCAGAGTGGCCTGAAAATCGGAGCAATCCTACTGTGTCTGCCTCCCAAGTGCTGGGATTACAAACCTGTGACACCAGGCCCCTACAGTGTACTATAAAATCTCCTTTTCTCTCTTGGAACAAACCTTTCCATACCTTCATTTTTCTCCCTCCTTCTAAGTGTGTTTTGTGGGATTTGGAAGCAAGCACTCTTGTTCCACCTAACATGGGATACACTTTCACACTCTGATGTACAAAACTCTTCAAAGGCCCAGCCATTGTGAAATAATAATGGCAGATTATTGCACTTTTTCATTTTGAGAAATTTCTAGATGAGATCTTTAAAAAGTTGGTTCTTGGGTTGCTATAGAAGTTTCTCCTTCCCTTCACAATCACTCCAGGCTAACTTACACTTTCGGAGCTGCTCACAGAGCTGCTCACGGTGGTGATGAGGAGGGTACCCATGGGGCTAGGTCCAGCAGGCAGTGCTCAGCCCTCTGCCCTGACCCTGTCCACATACTTCACTCCTGGTTTTCCACCCTCTAGGCCATTTACCTCTGCCTCCTTTGCTGGCTTTTCCCCTTTCCAGCCTCTGCCCAGTAGAGTATACAGGCTAGCATCGGTCCTGGTTTCTTTTCTCATAACTGTTAATATCCTACAGTAGGGGTGCCCAACCAGTGGCTTCTGGGCCATATGCAGCCCAACATAAAATTAAAAACCTTTTTAAACTATTTTGAGACATTTGCATGTATCTTTTTTTTTTTTTGGTTTTGAGACAGGATTTCTCTGTGTGACAGCCTTAGCTGTCTTGGAATTTGCTTCGTAGACTAGGCTGGCCTTGAACTCACAGAGATCCTTCCTGCCTCTGCCTCCCAAGTGCTGGGATTAAAAGCATGTACCACTACAACTGGTAGTTTTACATTTCTTGAGCATAAAGTTTGTAGATAGCAGAATGGCCAAGAGAAGCCAGAATGTTAGACACCCCTGACCGTGCTTACGTTCAGACCTCTTGCTTCAGACCTCACCCCCTGAACTCCTGATTCACATGTCCAACTCTCTTTTTTTTTTTTTTTTTTGGTTTTTCGAGACAGGGTTTCTCTGTGTAGCTTTGCGCCTTTCCTGGGACTCACTTGGTAGCCCAGGCTGGCCTCGAACTCACAGAGATCCGCCTGGCTCTGCCTCCCGAGTGCTGGGATTAAAGGTGTGCGCCACCACCGCCCGGCCCAACTCTCTTCTTAACATGTCTACTATAAATCCCATGTGAGCAGGAACACTTACGCTTTGATCCTCTCTGTATTTCTTGTTAGAAGAAAGCCTGGCACACAGTAGATGCTTGACAAATGTTTGGATTGTTTTTCTGTAGCAAAGACAAACATTAAGGAATTAAAATGTGTGCTAGGGAGATGATTCAGGGGTTAAAGCACTTGCCACGCAAACATGCTCGGAGTTCAGTTCACCAGAAACCATTGTCTCTGGCATGGCAGCCCACCTGTAGTTCCAGCCTCGGAAGACAGAAACAGAGACTCTCTAGAGCAAGCTGGCAAGCAAGACTAGCCATATCAGTGAGCTTTGAGTTTGGGTGAGAGCCCCTGCTTCAGTGACTATTGGAAGAGCAATGGAGGATGGTTCCCAACTTGGACCTTGGGCCTCCACATCCACAAATACACACATCCAAAAACACACAACACCACACATGAAAAATGGAAGAAAAGAAAAATCTAACAATAGTCTTTCGTTTGCTGCCACCATCTTGAATAAAATTCATTTTTTCATTCCTTTGCTTTCTAACAGTGCTTAGTCTAAGCCTTCCCAGTGGTATTTTGTTTTAGCTAAGAAAATATTGCACTTAGTAACGGGCAGAGAGGCAATCTGTATGAAGCCTGTAGCCCAGAGCCTAGCATGGGCCCAACACTCTTTAGACAGTAGAAGCCAGCTCCTCAGCCTTCTCTCTCTTCTCCTCACCACAGGACCGCCTGGCCCGGTGCACCATGCATTGCAATGACAAAGCCAAAGACTCGATAGACGCCGGAAATAAGGAGCTGCAGGTGAAGCGGCAGCTGGACAGCTGTGTGGCCAAGTGTGTGGACGACCACATGCACCTCATCCCAACAATGACCAAAAAGATGAAGGAGTCTCTGTCATCCATCGGGAAATAAAATTGTTTGCCAGTGACCGTGGGGCTGAGGGCACGATATTTAAAAGGAGGAATGGAAGTTTAGCAATGTTTATAAGCAGTGTTTATGAATGAGGAAAACTCAGGACACAGCAAGTTCCAGGCAAATGCCACTCACCTCTGGACACCAGTTCCTTTGCATCTGGATCTTAGAAGGTGAAGTGGAAAGAAGCTGGTGCTAAAATTTGGATCACAGATAGCACAGGGGAGAATTCTAGATCTAAATTGTCATGGGCCAGTGCTTGTTCTGGCAGTAGAGATTGCCCTTATACCGAGGGCTCAGATTCTCACTACATAGACATCCGAGCTGGCAGCTTTCCTCAACCTGCTGGTAAAGTTTGAGAAGTGTGTTTCTTTGCCAAGCTCCTGTTTACCACACACACCTTGCATGTGCTCTGAAACAACAGTCAGCTAGTCATTTAGAGGGAGGAAAGGGTTTCCTTCTAGATCTTTTCTGTTTGTCTTACATGCAAGAGCACAAAGTGGATTTAAGATACAGGAGGGAGAGAAGTTTGAATAGCTTCTAAAGGTTCCTTGTAAGTTTTGGCCATCAAGATGGGAAAGTCCATTTCTTCAAATTCTGTCATTCTGGAAGCCCCTGAAAAAGCAGGGCAGTATACTGTGCATGGGAAACAGTTTCCTTCTCTGACTTCTGTGGCAAAGTGACACATTCCCATGAAGAGCAAGGGAGTTTGATTGTCAGTCACATACCAGTAGCTGAGAATAAACAGTCAAATAGTAACTGTTGAGAAGTACTAGGTTTGGGAAAACCTAAATTTTACAGAATAAAAGTCCAAACCCAGTATTACTCCCTCGGCCCCTTGAATTCACAGAGCCTTTTAGAGGTAATCCTCTAGCACAAGGAAGCCTAAAAGTAAGCAGCTTGGGCCAAGGAAAGCTAGGACCACTATAGAGCTAGACAGGTACACACCTTACCAAATGCCATTTTTGCCTGGGGCTTTGCAGTGCAGTGTTGCTGCCCCAACATGGCACCTTATCTTTTGGATAAGCACTATGTTGTATTTATACCAATTAATTACTTGAAACGGTGATAATACTTGTCAGTTTGCTGTCAAGCCTGTGATATATTTTCCAAGTGGTTTTGTTTTTAAATAAAGTTTCATGGTCTCCAACTTTTTCCTAGTGGGTAGTGATATATCAGTATGCCTCTGAATTTTAAGACATCCTGAGAGTGCATAGTAGTAGATGGAAAGCACTAAGGGAAAGTCAGAGCATCATGGCTTAAAGTCTGTTAATGTAGAAAAGATACCCAGAGCCAAGCGATGGTGGCATAACACCTTTAATCCCAGCACATGGGAGGCAGAGGCAGGTGGATCTCTTGAGTTTGAGGATAGCCAGGCTACACAGAGACCTGTCTCGAAAGCCCCTCCAGAAAATAATAGGATTAAGGGTGCATACCTGTAAACTCAGTACTTCCAAGGTTGAGAGGAGGAGGACCGCCCTTGTTTGAGGACAGCCTGGGCTACATACTGAGACCCCTAACAGCAAGTGGTGGAAAGAGTATACAGTTAAGACTCCTTGTTCCGGTTGGATTTTGTCAACGACACAAACTAGTCACATGGTATGAACCTCAGTTGAACTGCCTCCAACTGGCAGGTCTGTAGACAGCATGTCTGTGGGGACGTTTTCTGCATGACTGAAGCGAGAAAGCCCAAGTCACTGAGGGCCTGAGGGCCACCCCTGGGGAGGTGCACACCTTTACTCTCAGCACTCAGGAGGCAGGCTCAAGACCTCAGGGCTTTCTTGTGGTACGCCTCACGTTTTATGTACAGGGGCCGTGGTGTGCTAAGTGGGGATCTGGAAGCAGAACTGCAGGACTATATGGGTCAAGAATACTCCAGACTCCGGATTCACATCCTAGAATCAGCCTCGGCCCCTTCCCGCTACTGGTGCAGGGAAGCCATTGATTAATTTGGATGCTTCAGGAGCCCTCACCTTCGCCTTACGGGTACGCTTAGGAAATAAAGGGCAGCGCGGTGCGGCAGCCTGTAATCCTAGCACAGGAGGCGGAGCCAGGAAGATGGATTTCAAGTCAGCTTCGACTACACCGTGAGCTCGAGGTCCGCATGAATTACATCAAAAACGGGGAGGGCATGGGAAGAGAGGAAAGGGAAGGAGAAACGACGAAAATGTAACGAGAAAAAAGGAAAGGGAGAAATTAACGGAAAAAGTGACAAGCAAAGAAGCGCGAAAGCTGCACTTCAATTTCACACAAAGGACGCTTAGCCCAGGCCCCGCCTCTCAATCCTAGCCAGTCACTGACGACGCAACCGGAAGTGTGGCGTTGGTTCGGGCGTCCTTCTCAGTATCGCGAGATGGAAGTGATGATTGCCTCGCGCGGTAGTGACGTCAGACATCGGCGCCCGGCCTGCTGCGCGTGCGTTTGTGAGGCCGCCCGCTCTTTTCCATCGTCCCGAGCCCGCTGAAAAGTCGCCATGAGCAAGGCCCACCCTCCCGAGCTGAAGAAGTGAGTAAAGCCGGCCCGACCGAGGCCCCCCGGCCGCGCCAACCCTCCTCCCGCCTTTCCTCGGCTGCGGCCGCAGGTCCCGGCGCTCCTGGGAGCCGGAAGTGGCCCTGAGGTCCGGTCGGCATGGTTACCGCGGTGGAGGTTCCTCCGCTTTCCCAAAGCTGGACTCTAAGCGGGCGGCCAGAGGGCTACCTGGTTAGGGACGGGACCAAGGCTGCAGTCAACAGCGAGGCGCGTGGTTGTCTGTGAGGATGCGGAAACTCACAGCTTTTAAAAGTGCATTTGAGGGGCTGGAGAGATGGCTCAGTGGTTAAAAACGCTGGCTGTTCTTCCTGAGGACTCGTGTTCAAGTCTCAGCACCCACATGGCATCTCACAACTGTCACAACTCCAAGGTCTGACACCATCACACAGATATACATGCAGGCAAAACACCACCACACATAAAATGAAAATGTTTTTTAAGTGCATTTGGAAAGCCGGGCGTGGTGGCTTTCGCCTTTAATCCCAGTACTTGGGAGGCAGAGGCCAGCCTGGTCTACAAAGCGAGTTCCAAGAGAACTAGGGCTAGTACACAAAAAAGCTGTCTCATATTTAAAAAAAAAAATGCATTTGCAGCTGGGCTTGGTGGCGCTCATCTAAGGGACCAGTACTCAGGAGGTTAAGGCAGGAGGATTACCGCGAGTTCCAGGGCAGTCTAGGCTAAAAAGTGAGACCCTGTCACCAGAAAAAAAAGAGAGAGAGAGAGAATGTATTTCTTTTTGAGAAATACCGTTCCTCTTACTTGCCCCCTTTTAAAAATTTTTAAGTCTATAGTGAGGCAGTGTGTTCTGTTTAAATAAATGTGCACATTCTATTGCATTCATCGAGAATTCATCCCCCTTTTTTTTTTATTGCTCACAGACATGTTTAATTGTGCGTATGTTTGTGCATGTGGATGCGGTGCCTGCGGAGGCCAGAGAGGGCGTCGGATCCGGTAGAGCAGTAGTTGTAGGAGGTTGTGAACCTGCTGGTGTGGGTACTAAGAGCCAAACTCGGGTTCTCTGGAAAAGCAGAAAGTGCTGAGCCGTTTCTCCAGCCCTAAGAATTAGGTTTCTGTTGCATTGTCAGACATACACCTGCTTGCCTTCTTGCATGCAGGTTAAATTTGAATGTGTGGTATCTGGCCTGGTAATAAGTCAGTGGAGGAACATCCATTTTCTAATCGGAGACAACTAGTTTTTGCAGGATTTTTTTCTGCACCCCGTAAAACAAGACCTAGTTTAAAGCTTTTTTCTCCTCAGACACTACTGACTGGTCTGAGCCTGTCCCATTTGTAATGCTGAGATCCTGCATAGTCAATAGACTGCAGAGTACAAGATTAATACTGGGTCGTTTTTCTGGTGTGGCTAAATAATCTGCTTTGTGTATAGCCTGTTTATCACTGGTTCTGTAAAGACTCCAATGCAGGGAAAAGATCACATTTACTAATTTTATATTTGAGTGCACATTTTTATCCAAGAAACCTCTATGTGAAACCCCTTCATTTTTAGTTGGATCTGTTAAAGATTTACTAAGCCATAAGTAAATATATAAATATTTTTAAAAGTAGAAATTACTCTGCGCTGTTGATTTTATTAATGAGCTAGTGAATGAAGTCTTGTATTGTCTGGATTCATCAGAAATTGGGGGAAAAAATGGTTATTGGTTTTAAACAAAAGGACTGTTCTCTACTTGTAATCATAAATGCCCTTTGATTCTTAACAGACACTACTTGGGCCTTTCAAAGACTGTATTAGTCTTGTTTTGACTTGTTTGTTGGCTTGTTTGTGGTGGTGTGGTTGAGGCAGGGCCTTGTGCATGCTACTCTACCACTGAACTTTAACCCTGTTCGCTGAAGTTGATACCTTTCTCATCCCTAGATTTAATGAATTTTGAAATACTGTTAGATCTGCCTCCTTTATTTTCTCATAAATCCTTCTTTCACAGCTTTCACTCCTGGTTTAGTGTAACTCAGTGGTTCTTAAATCACATCTAGCCAAATATCTCAGTAATTTCAAAGTTGAGCTCCTTAGCCTAAGTGCATTCTTCTTCCCACCTCTTTTAGATTTTATTTATTATGTATACAGTGTTCTGCCTGGCACAACAGGAGAGGGCACCAGATGGTTGTGAGCCACCATGTAGTTGCTGAGAATTGAACTCAGGACCTCTGGAAGAGCACCCTCTTAAACACAGAGCTATCCTTCCCACCTCTTAAAATTTGTTGCCACAGTAAATCTTGCCACTGGTTGACTCTGCTGTAACAATTTATCGCTGCAAAGTCAAATCCAGATTTCCTAGTCCAGAAGCCCCTCCATCTGCAGTCCAGTAGCCATATTCTTACTTGGTATATGACTGAGAACAATGTTCTAAACCTTGATGTCTTAGTGTCCTATTGCTGTGAAGAGACACCGTGACCAATTCTCATGAAGAAAAGTATTTAATTGGGGGCTCACTTACAATTTTAGAGGGTTAGCCCATGGTTATGATGAGAAGCAAGCAAAGCAGAGAGACACAGCCTGGCATTGTTTGGTTTTGGTGTTTGGAAACAGGGTTTCTCAGCGTAGCCCTGGCTGTCCTGGAACTCACCACCAACGCCCATCCTGGCATTGGTTTTTGAAACCTCAAAACCCCAGGGACAACTCCTCCAACAAGAATATACCTCCTAATTCCTCCCAAACAGTTCATCAGCTGGGGACTAAGCATACAAATATATGACCCTTTGGAGACCATTCTTATTTAAACCACCACACTGAGCCTTGGTGCTCCATCTATATAATGTAGTAATAATAGTACATGACTTGTAAGAATTAAGCATGCTCCTGTGTTTGTTGCTTTATGAAAGAACTCCTATTAAAATTTAGTGTTTTAAGCCAGGTGATGGTGGTGCACTTTTAATCCCAGCACTCAGGGAGGCAGAGGCAGGTGGATCTCTGAGTATAAGGCAAGTCTGGTCTATAGAGCTAGTTCCAGGACAGCCAAGGCTACACAGGGGGAAAAAAAAAAAAATTTAGAGTTTTATAAATGTTATTTGTAAATATATCTACTTCCCACTTCCATCAGACTCTGTGGCTTAAATTTATATTTGAATTCTTCTATGATGCTCTATACATTAAAACTCGATGAAGCCAGGCCTGGTAGCACATGCCTGAAATATCTGTTACTGAGAAGCTGAGGCAAAGAACTGCAAGTTCAAAGCCAGCCTGGGTAATTAAGTAAGACGTCTCAACAGAAAGATAAAAAGAGAGATGTGGGTATAGCTCAGTGGAAGAATATTTGCCTAGAATGGTTGGGGCTCCAGATTCAGTCATCAGTAGAGTGAGGGAAGAAGGGAAGGGAGAGAGGAAAGGAAATTTTCTAGCCTGTTCCTGGAAGACAGCAGTTGAAGGAGAGAACTAACTCCTTGAAGTTGTGCTATGACTTCCATGTTGGCACCATGATGAACACAAAATAAGTTTTAAAGAAATTTTAGCTAGCAGGGCTATGGTAGCACACTCCTTTAATCCCAGAGGCAGGAGCAGACAGATATTTTGAGTTCAAAGCTAGCCTGATCTACAGAGTGAGTTCGAGGACAGCCAGGGTTATAAAGAGAAATTCTGTCTCCAAAAAAAAAAAGCTGATTTGGGAACTGAAGAGATGGCTCACTGATTATGAGTGCTTCCTGCTTTTTCAGGGGATCTAACACCCTCTTTGAGTACCTACTTACGAACAACATACATTCACACAGACACAAACAGATAGATATACAGATGAGTGAGTTCTAAGTGACTTGACTTTGTCTTAATCATCTTATATGTCTTTATGGAATTAGATTTTCACATTTAATCCAAATTAAAGTTTCAAAGTATACACTTATTTCACTAATACTTGTTGAGATCTATCCTGAACACTTAAACTTAATGCTTTAATGTTAAATAAAACACTATTAATTGGCACATCCCTGAAATATCTCTCTCACACACACACACACACACACACACACACACACACACACACACACACACACGAGGCTGAAACAAGAAGATTGAAAAATTGAGGTCAGCTTGGGCTACAGAATTTCAGACCAACGCTAGCTATATTTGCTGAATTACATATAGTTTTGTTATTTTAGGAATAACCAAAATGTAACAAAATCTTTGTAATTAGTATAAATACTCACTATATTGCCTATTAAAATAGTTTAAATATACTAGCCCACGACAACAATGTGGGATTTGGGAGCTCTTAACTCAGCACTTAAGAGCAACCTGAGTTCAGTTCTCAGCATCCACCCAGGGCAAATCACAACTGCCTATGACAAGTTTTAGGACATCTGATGCTCTTCTGGCTGCTAATGACAACTGCTCTGGTACACGTACGCTCATACACACACACAATACCAGATTTTTACTGTTTTAAATGTTGTGTTTCTGTTGTACAAATTTTAAAGAGTTACTTTTTACATTGGTTTGTGGGTGTGTTACATGTGCCAGATATGGAGGTTAAAGGACATTTTAAGGAATTCATTCTCTGCTTCCAACATATGGGTTCCAGGAATCAAAATCAGGTTTGGCAACAAATGTCCTTACCCACTGAATCTTCTCACCAGCTCTAGTTGTCTCGGAACTTGCTCTGTAGACCAGGCTGGCCTCAAACTCAGAACCTCCTGAGTGCTGGGATTAAAAGGTGTGCTCCACCACTGACCTGAGCAAAATACTTTTTTGGTTTTTTTCAAGACAAGGTTTCTCTGTGTAGTTTTGGAGACTGTCCTGAATCTCGCTCTGTAGACCAGGCTGGCCTCAAACTCACAGAGATCTGCCTGGCTCTGCTTCCCAAGTGCTGGGATTAAAGGCGTGCGGCACCACCGCCCGGCCTGCAAAATACTTTTTTTTTAAGACTTATTTTATTTTGTGTATGTGTGAGGGTAACTGATTCTGCGCTTGTTTATGCTTAGAATTTTTCTTTAAGTAAATCATAATTTTTACTCTTGCTTTTTCAGATTTATGGACAAGAAGTTATCATGTAAGTTTGCCACTACTTCAATTACTCAGTTTCTTTCTGTCTGTCTTAGCAATAATTTAATCTTTGGAAACACGTTATAGAAATTTAAAGTATAAATCATCTAATTCATCTCCATTCATCAGGTTTCTCAAAGTTCTAGCTTGACTTTTTTTCTTTGCCTAATTTCTAATTGCCAATACCTAATACTTTAGATGATTCCATCTGTGCCTCCCTGACATTGACAGAATTAGGAGTTTCCTATGTTGTAATATTTGAAACTTTATCAATTGCTGTTTCCTGTGAATGTGTAGGAAATACAGACTTAAATAGAAGCCTGACCCATGCAATGTAGTATATTGAAATTTTAAAATACAAGGGTTTTAGCCTTCATTTGATTCTCTGCTCTACTATATAACAGCTCTTAACCTTGAACCCTGTTATTTGGAATTTCAGTTCCTTTGTGTAAAGGTAATACTACTTTACTTATTTATGTCGGGGAGGTTTTATTGGTGAGGAGTCATTGATATGGGGTCTTGCTATGTGGCCCAGTCTGGTCTCAAACTCCTTTTGAATCAGTCCTTCATTATGCCAAGTGCTGGGATTATAATCATGAGACATCACATGTAATGTCTTCATAGGATCTTAAAGGCTATAAAATATAGGAAAAGAAGACCTAAAATATTGGCCCAGTGTTGGGCAGATAGGAAGGGTAGTGGAGTCACACATCCTAACAACCTTTCTTTTCCCACCTGATCTGTGATGGATGGTTAACAGTTAAGGGCTTTATTGAAACTTCTTTTTTCCCTCCTTACAGTGAAGTTAAATGGTGGCCGACATGTACAAGGAATACTACGGGGCTTTGATCCCTTTATGAATCTTGTGATTGATGAGTGTGTGGAGATGGCAACTAGTGGGCAGCAGAATAACATCGGCATGGTGGTAAGTAAAGGTGGATGTCAGGGGGTCCTTTTCTTTTATCTTTTAGAATATGTTTTCACTTCCCTTATATCAACTTCTCAGATTAAATCCAAGTTAGTTATCTAATGAAAGGCAAATAAAAGGAAAGATTGGGACTTTGCATTTCCTCTCTGCTTTTATTTATGTACACATTCATCTGTGGTAATATTCCAGGTACCTGTAGATAAGATCTCATTTCTGCAGAGCCTTTTCAGCATAGGTCTTAAAATAGTTAGCTGTTGGAAAACATTTTTGAGCTTTGCCCTATAAGAAATGGGCATACATAGCCAGGCTTTTGGTTACAGTAAAAATTCTCTAACATATATGATGCCCCAGGATACCTTGTTAAGATACAGGTTTCAGGAGCTGGCAAAAAATGACTTGGTTGTTTTTGTTTGTTTAATTATTCTTATTTTATGTGTATGGGTGTGTAGCTTGAGTTTTCCTGACTGGCCCACAGTCAGGACAAATCTCTCTCACCTGCGCCAGTCCCACAACCGCTCAGACCCAACCAAGTAAACACAGAGACTTATATTGGTTACAAACTGTATGGCCATGGCAGGCTTCTTGCTAACTGTTCTTACAGCTTAAATTAATCCATTTCTATTAATCTATACCTTGTCATATGGCTCGTGGCTTACCGGCATCTTTACATGCTGTTTTTCATCATGGCGGCTGGCAGTGTCTCTCTCTCTCAGCCTTTTACTTTTTAGCTCTATTCTCCTCCTTGTCCCGCCTATACTTCCTGCCTGGCCACGGGCCAATCAGTGATTTATTTATTGACCAATCAGCAACACACTTGACATACAGACCATCCCACAGCATGGGTGTTTTGCCTGCACGTATGTCTGTGTACCATGTATATGCCTGATGGCTATGGATTCCAAAAGAGGGTGTTAGATCCTCTGGAACTGGAGGTACAGATAGAGCTAGTGCTATTAATACTGAGCCATCTCTCCAGCTCCTGGCTCAGCACTTAAGAGCACTTGTTGCTCTTGCAGAGGACTGGGTTTGATTCCTAGCACCCACACTGCAGCTCCCAACAATCCTTAACCACAGTTCCGGGGGATCCAATGCCCTCCTCTGGCCTTCTTAGGCACTAGGCATACATATGGTATATATACATACATGCAGGCAAAACTTTCACATAAGAAAAAATTTTCATATAAAATAATCAGGTTTTGGGCCTCGGAATGTAGGTCAGTGTTACAATGCTTTCCTAGCACACATAAGGCACTACTTTGCATTCTTGGCATGGATGTTAAACATAATGACAGCCATTCATGACAGAAAATAAAGTAAACCAGAAGCAGAGGGAAAGCCCCCACACACATACTTTTTTTTTTAAGACAGGGTCTGGCTTTATGGCTTGGAACTCAGGGTACTCTTGCTTCAGGCTCTGAAAGGGCTGGGATTACAGGTTTGAGCAATCACCATATGCAGCTGAGCTTTCATATTAGACATAGACTTTGCTACATCTATTAAGCAATAGTTCTATGGCCACAAAAGAAAGGTTTTTGTATTCCTCAATAGGATACAGATTTTAAATTGCTGTTTGTCTTGTAGGACATGTCTTATATACCATAATCCTCATAAGTGGTGAGCCCAGATTTGTTTGTGGGATTAATATAAGGACTTTCTTGTGGTGATAAGAGGTCATATCCTCTCTCCTCCTACACCTCCCATCTTAGTTAGGGTTTCTATTGCTGTGATAAGACAACATGATCACCGAAACTCTGATAGAGGAAAACGTTTAATTGAGGCTTTCTTACAGTTTAGAGGTTTAGTCCATTATCACGATTGGAAGTATGGTGGCACTTGGGCAGGCATGGTGCTGGAGAGGTAGCTGAGAGTTCTACATCTGGATCCATTTGCAACAGGAAGAGACTGACACAGGGCTTGGCTTGAGCTTCTGAGACCTCAAAGCCTACTCCCTATGAGCCTGTGGGGGCCGTTTTCATTTAAACCGCCACACCTCCCCTGGTGAAAGTAGGACCTCATCCACTGGGCTGAGTGCCCAACCCCTTGGACTTTATGATTTTGTTAAGGTGGGGTAGTAGCAGGATAAAGGTAGGTAGACCCTTTTTACCATTTTACTCAGGTGTTTTAAATGATTGTTTTGCATCATTTCAAATCAAAAGTTTATGGTAATAATCATTACTTTTCAATTCTGATACCAGTCTCTTCTGATAGGCTTAGGAGGCTTCAAGTTGTGCTTTGCTGCATGCACACGCCACGCACCACCCCCTTTTAAAATGGGTTTGCATCCCTGGCTTTCCTGGAACTCAGAGATCCTTCTGCCTCTTGAGTTACTAGGATTAAAGGATGTGTGCCACCATACCTCATTCATATCTGGATTTAAAAATTAACTTGGTCCTTGTGCCTTGAGAAAAGCCTCACTGATGTGTCATGGTGGAAAAGTATTATGATTTGTCTTTGAAATGAATTATTCTTTTCAACTGACTTCTTTCTCTAGGTCATACGAGGAAACAGCATCATCATGTTAGAAGCCTTGGAAAGAGTCTAAACAATGGCTGGTCAGAAGAGGAGTCCACATCCTTCCCCTAAGGACTGTTTGATTGGGGTGTAGAATTGGGTCATGTACATTTTCATATGAAACTTTTTGCTAAATAAACTCTTGTGATACTCAGAGTGCATTTTTGGTGTTAGGAATATAGAAGTTGAGTGGTTACTCTTCTCTCAGCGGATGTTCTTGGCTGAGCTGTTTCGTGCATTCATGTGGAAGCTTCTTGGCTCAGTGTGAAACAAGGTAAGTGTAGGCAGTTTTCCTGTGCCAGCAGCCACTCCCAAATAATCACTCAGAAACTTAATATTAATTACAAATGCTCAGCTGATAGCTCAGGCTTGTTACTAGCTAACTCTTACATTTACATTAACCCATATTTCTTATCTACGCTCTGCCATGTGGCTTGGTGCCCCTTTTTTTGGTTCTTCGAGACAAGAGTTTCTCTGTGTAGCTTTGGAGCCTGTCCTGGAACTCACTCTGGCCTTGAACTCACAGAGATCCGCCTGCCTCTGCCTCCCGAGTACTGGGATTAAAGGCATGCACCACCACCACCTGGCGGTGCCTTTTCTTAGTACAGCATGCTCATCTTTTCCCTGACTCTGCCCTTTTTTATCCCAGCATCCTTAGTTTGGTTGTCCCACCTATACTTCCTGCCTGGCTACCAGCTAGTCAGTTCTTTATTAACCAGTAAGAGTAATACGTATTCACAGAGTACAGAAGGATTATTCCATAGCAGATAAGAATTCAGTAACACTGAGCAGATTGGCTACAAACATGTGGCTTTCAAACATTAGTTCCAGTGCCTTTAACTTCCTGTGACTTCAAATTTGGGTTGAGTCCCTTATTTCATATTTTAGAATATTTATTTATATGCCATGAGCTGTCTTAGGATAGGATCTGCCTTCATTACTTTTCTATTGCTGTGAAGAAACACCATGACCAAAGCAATTTATATGGGGGAAAAAAGTTTATTGGGGGCTTACAGTTTAGAGGGTGAGTCCATGACCAGCATGGCAAGGAGCATGTAGTGGGCAGGCCTGGTGCTGGAGCAGTTGCTGAGAGCTTATATCTGTAGACAGAGAACTAACTGGGAAAGGCTTGGGCTTTTGAAATCTCAAAGCCCACCCCTAGTAGCACATCTAATCTTTCCTGAACAGTTCCATCAACTGGGGACCAAGAATTCAAATACATAGCCCATGGACCATTCTCAGTGAAGCTACCACAGGATCCAAACCTAAACAAGAAGTTCATGTGTATTCATTACTATATGTGTTGCCTCTTGATATTACAACTTCTATTTTTGTTGTGGGTATACATGTGTTGTCAGTGTATGTGTGGAGGTCAGGATAGCTTGGCAGCAGTCAATTCTCTTCCACCATTTGGGTTGTAGGGGTTGAACCTAGGTCACTGGGTTTGGCAGCAAGCACCTATACCAATGAGCCATCAGGCTAGCCTATACAGTGTTTTAGCATGCTTGGTTTGGGCTGCAACAAGTTACATGAGTTACAGAAGTTCTGGCATTATGTTAAATGTTGAAAAGCTTCAGGTTTTGGAGGATTTCAAGGTAGGACGCTACATTGCAAGTGTACTTTAACGGGACTGATAGCCCAGGGGTGGTGTGCTTAACATGCTGAAGACCTTGGGTTCAAAACACCAACTGTGACCCACCCCATCCCCGGTAAAATAACCCCAAGTTTAGTACAAGAGCAGTAACATAGGAAGTAATGCTGCTTCCTTCAGATGTAATCATAAAGTGGGCAATAGTTTTCGTTTTAATCTTTTTTTGTTGGAGTTTTGGTTTTAAGACGGTCTCACTATGCTGCTCTGACTGTCCTGAAACCTCTCCAAACTCTGCCTTCTCAGTCTCCAAACAAAGGAAAGGCACCAAAAAGCCCGGTTACTCAGTCTTGGCTGCTATTACAGCTTCCCCCGCCCGTCCTTGAAGTTGCCAGCCATTCAAGTCACTGCCTAAGCGCTCAGCCTTTGACCATTCTTGGGCACAAACCCAGCTTGTGGCAGACACATCATCACCCCTCTCCTACAACCTATAAAAATGTCCCTGCTTTAGTTCAGGGGTATAACTTCTCTGGCCTCAATCTCTGGGACCAGAGAACCCGCCTGGGAGTTGCTCTCAATAAACCTGTTATACTTTTTCAGTTCAGCTTAGTCTGGCTTACTGCGTCAGGGAGAAACTTATTATGGGAGTGGGAAGAGAAGCAGAAAACCTATTACAGCCTAATGATGGACTTCATTCAGTAAGTGATGTATCCATCCACAGTGGACTACAGTGAGCTCAGTCTGGGCTACAAGAACAAATTAAAATTAATGGTGATCTCATTCATAGTGGCTTACTTAATATCAGTCTTCCCTTCTAGGAGTGCCACCCAGCCTAAAACTGCAAGTAACCAAGGTGGAGTCTGCCTGGTGGTCATTTCCATTCAGATGTAACAACACAACATAACTAAAACCTGCAGGTGTGAGTATTGGCATTCTGGCCCGCGGGGGCCCGCCCCTTGGGGGCCCGCCCAGTGACCTGACAAAGTCCCCTTTAAAAAGAACTCCTTCTCCCCCGTCCCTCTTCTTCTTACTATTCATTCCCATGAGGTGTGATCCCTCTCCCTCCCTCCCTCTCTTATCTCCCTCTCCCTTCTCTCTCTCCCCTCCCTCTCTCTTCTTTCTCCTTCCCTCCATTCCCTCTCCCCTCCCCTCAAAATAAACTTCCATGCGGATGCTGTTCCTGGGGTGTGAGTAACTTTCCACATGCCACACTGACGGAAGCTGCTGCTGTGTCTGCATAGCATGTCTCTCTCACCCACCAGAGCACCTTGGCCCAACCCACCAAGGCCTCCCCGCCTTACCATAGCATCATAGCAGTGAGTGGTTAGGGGCACACAGTAAGGCCCATCCATTCTCCTTACTTGATCCTTGGGTCTCTGGTGTGGACTGCATGGTTTCCATTGCTGCTTGACAAAATTCCAGCATTTTGAGTTTGTGGATCATGATTTCCAGCACCCTTTTACTTTGATTGTTAATGAATCTATGTGTTATGGGAGTTCCCTTATGCCTTTTCCTTTTGGAAATTTTGTGTGGACTTTGAAGGATGAAAATGTATAAAATGGCATCCTCTTTTTTTTTTTTTTTTTTTTTTTTTTGGTTTTTCGAGACAGGGTTTCTCTGTAGCTTTGGAGCCTGTCCTGGACTAGCTCTGTAGACCAGGCTGGCCTCGAACTCACAGAGATCCGAAATGGCAGCCTCTTTAACAAAGTAATTCTTAGGAAAAAATTCCCACCACTGTGGAATCATAGTGTGTTGACTCTGCACACAGGAATTCCCATTGTGCCCTTCTGATTACATGAAGAACAGGAAGATTGAAGATTTGCTAATTGGGCACACCTAACCCCAAGTATGAAGGGCATGCAGTCCAGATCCAGAGCCTGAGGCCATTAAGGGCAAGAGTTCAGTTAATAAGTATAAAGGAATCAAAATGGTACCATATAATGGAAAAAAGAGTAAGACACCAGGACCTTCCGTTTGGGGAGCATTTGAGGGAAACAGGCCCATATAGTAAGACTAAGACACAAAGGGACACAATTAGGGAACCACTCAGTGCTTACACTGCATCCCGCCCCTTGAGGAAGGAAAATTACTCTTAAATTATAGTGGAATGTCTGGTCCCCAGGGAAGTCCTTTTCCCAAGGTCAGGTATTTGGATAAGGGCTTCCATTTCCCTCAGGGTCTTGAGGAAAGTTTCTGCTTGCTAAAAGCAGTAATTCTCCTTTTTTCTAGCAGAAGGAACTTGTGGCCCTTACAATGATATAAGAGGGCTCCTGATGGAATTACTGAACTTAGAGAACAATAGGCATTTAGATACTTGCTGAATTTAGCACTTTTGGGTTTTTTTTTTTAGGGTGGGGAGTGGAGATGGGGAACGAGTGAAATGCTGTAATAAAATTAATGGCCACTTTCATCCCTGAATCATTGAGTCTGCTAAACTGTTGTGCAATTATTGAGTATAATAGGTGTAGCCTTTTTTTTCAATAAGCAGGCAGCCATGCCAGGTCACCCTCAGACCCCTCAGACCGTGTCAGTCTCTCCCTTCACCAACTCCGCACCTCCTCTTTGGGACCTGAACCCCACTGGAGCTGGACTCTGGCATGTCTCTGATTGTTCAGTTGTTTTTTTTTGTTGTTGTTGTTGTTTTTTATTTTTTTAAGATGACCCAACCTCCTAGAAGGAAAGCCTTTGGTGGGTCCTAGGCCAAGAATTTCAATTAAACTCACTGGCTAGAAGCCCAGAGATTCTCTCTGCCTCTGCTGCTCCCAGCCATAGGGTTAAGGGCTCTTCTGCAGCCTGGAGATCTGAACTGAAGTCCTCATACTTGAACAGCACATACTCTTACCCGTGGAGTCATCTTCCCATCCCCTGTAGTCTCTGCAGTTTATCTTTTCTGTTAGCTGTCTGTCAATCAAGGTCTCTGGGTAGTGTATGTTTCCAGTGAATGGGAGCTCTGCTCCCTCCAGCCCCTCCCCACTCCTTTATTGTGGAGATGAAGGCAGGACCATTATCTCCTTAAGGAGTCAGATGTTCCAGAGCTGGGAACAATGCCTTTATGTAAACTCATGCCACTTGGAGATTTTTCTGTGTTTCAGGGATGTCTCAGTCCAGCTGGAGAAAACATCAACCAGAACCAGTGTATAGTTTCCCATGGCCTCAGGTATCTGGGCTGAAACCCACTTGCCGATTTTCAAAAGAATATGGTCCCAAAATGATATGTTGGAACCCCTGAGCACTAGGCAACTGTCATATTGGGGGTTCTTCTGTGCATAACTGTTAGCTGGGTTGCTTCCTTTATTATATGGTGTGACCCTGGTCCTCTAAGGTGTAGCTATTCAGTTAGTGGGTTTCATTGGTAATAAGTCCTATTGAGTATGGTAGCTGGATCAGACACCAGCTTTCCTGGTGAGATGACTATGACATTTCCTTTCCATAAGAAGTCTTGTCCTTTATAACCTGTGTAGGGTCTCCCTACCTCCCCTCTGAACACCCAGGTGATGAATGACACCTGTCCAAGGTCTGGATGTTAGCATTCAGATCCACCCCTTGGGGACCTGGCCAGTACACAGGCAATAC